AGCGCTGAATGATACTGAATGATGGTAAATGATGCTAAATGATGTTGAATGATGCTAAATGATGTTGAATGATGCTAAATGATGGTGAATGATAGTAAATGATTCTGAATGATACTGAATGATGCTGAATAATACTGAATGACGCTGAATGATACTGAATGATGCTGAATGATACTGAATGATGCTGAATTATACTGAATAATACTGAATGATAGTGAATGATACTGAATGATGCTAAATGATGGTGAATGATACTGGATGATGTTGAATGATGTTAGATCATGTTGAATGATACTGAATGATGTTGAATGATGCTGAATGATGCTGAATCATACTGAATGTCGCTGAATAATACCGAATGATGCTGAATGATACCGAACGATGTTGAATAATAGTAAATGATTTTAAATGATGGTGAATGATGTTAAATGATGCCGAATGATGCTGAATGATGGCGAATGATACTGAATGACGCTGAATAATACTGACTGATGCTGAATGATACTGAATGTCGCTAAATGATGGTGAATGATACTGGATGATGTTGAATGATGCTAAATGATGTTGAATGATACTGAGTGATGCTGCATGATACTGAATGATACTGAATGATGGTAAATGACTTTAAATAATGGTGAATGATGTTAAATGATGCTGGATGATACTGAGTGATGTTGAATGATGGTGAATTATGTTAAATGATGCTGAATGATGCTGAATGATACTGAATGATGGTGAATGATACTGAATGATGCTGAATGATACTGAATCATGTTGAATGATGTTGAATTATACTGAATTATACTGAATGATGCTGAATGATACGGGATGGTGCTGAATCATACTGAATGATGCTGAATGATACTGGATAATACTGAATGATGTTAAATGATGGTGAATGATACTGGATGATGTTGAATGATGCTAAATGATGTTGAATGATATTGAATGATGTTGAATGATGCTGAATGATGCTGAATAATACTGAATGACGCTGAATGATACTGAATGACGCTGAATGATACTGAATGATGTTGAATTATAGTAAATGATGGTAAATGATGCTGAATGATACTGAATGATGCTGAATGATACTGAATTATACTGAATGATGCTGAATGATGCTGAATGATACCGAATGATGCTGAATGACGCTGAATGATATTGAATGATGGTAAATGATGCTAAATGATGGTGAATGATGCTAAATGATGGTGAATGATACTGAATGATATTGAATGATACTGAATTATGATGCTGAATGATACTGAATGATACTGAATGGTACTGAATGGTACTGAATGATGCTAAATGATGTTGAATGATACTGAATGATGTTCAATGATGCTGAATAATGCTGAATGATACTGAATGACGCTGAATGATACCGAATGATGTGGAATAATGGTAAATGATGGCAAATGATGCTGATACTGAATGATGTTGAATGATGCTGAATGATGCTGAATCATACTGAATGACGCTGAATAATACCGAATGATGCTGAATGATACCGAACGATGTTGAATAGTAGTAAATGATTTTAAATGATGGTGAATGATGTTAAATGATGTTGAATGATGCTGAATGATGTTCAATGATGCTGAATAATGCTGAATGATACTGAATGACGCTGAATGATACTGAATGACGCTGAATGATACTGAATGATGTTGAATTATAGTAAATGATGGTAAATGATGCTGAATGATACTGAATGATGCTGAATGATACTGAATTATACTGAATGATGCTGAATGATGCTGAATGATACCGAATGATGCTGAATGACGCTGAATGATATTGAATGATGGTAAATGATGCTAAATGATGGTGAATGATGCTAAATGATGGTGAATGATACTGAATGATATTGAATGATACTGAATTATGATGCTGAATGATACTGAATGATACTGAATGGTACTGAATGGTACTGAATGATGCTAAATGATGTTGAATGATACTGAATGATGTTCAATGATGCTGAATAATGCTGAATGATACTGAATGACGCTGAATGATACCGAATGATGTGGAATAATGGTAAATGATGGCAAATGATGCTGATACTGAATGATGTTGAATGATGCTGAATGATGCTGAATCATACTGAATGACGCTGAATAATACCGAATGATGCTGAATGATACCGAACGATGTTGAATAGTAGTAAATGATTTTAAATGATGGTGAATGATGTTAAATGATGTTGAATGATGCTGAATGATGGCGAATGATACTGAATGACGCTGAATAATACTGAATGATGCTGAATGATACTGAATGTCGCTAAATGATGGTGAATGATACTGGATGATGTCGAATGATGCTAAATGATGTTGAATGATACTGAGTGATGCTGAATGATACTGAATGATGGTAAATTACTTTAAATGATGGTGAATGATGTTAAATGATGCTGATTGATACTGAATGATGTTGAATGATGGTGAATGATACTGAATGATGCTGAATGATACTGAATGATGTTGAATGATGTTGAATTATGCCAAATGATGGTGAATGATACTGCATGATGTTCAATTATACTGAATAATGCTGAATGATACTGGATGCTGCTGAATCATACTGAATGATGCTGAAGGATACTGGATAATACTGTATGATACTGAATTATGCTAAATGATGGCGAATGATACTGGATGATCTTGAATGATGCTAAATGATGCTGAATGACACTGAATAATGTTCAATGATGCTGAATGATGCTGAACGATACTGAATGACGCTTAATGATACTGAATGACGCTGAATGATACTGAATGATGTTGAATGACAGCAAATGATGGTAAATGATGCTGAATGATACTGAATGATGCTGAATGATACTGAATGATACTGAATGATGCTGATGATGCTGAATGATACTGAATGATGCTGAATGACGCTGAATGATACTGAATGATGGTAAATGATGCTAAATGATGGTGAATGATGCTAAATGATAGTGAATGATGCTGAATGATGTTGAATGATACTGAAAGATGCTGAATCATACTGAATGATGCTGGATGATAGTGAATGATGCTGAATGATACTGAATGATGTTGAATGATGGTAAATGCTGGTAAATTATGGTGAATGACGTTAAATGATGCTGAATGATACTGCATGACCCTGAATGATACTGAATGATGCTGAATGATGCTGAATGATGTTGAATGATGGTAAATGATGGTACATGTTGGCGAATGACGTTAAATGATGCTGGATGATATCGAATGATGCTGAATGATACTGAATGACGCTGAATGATACTGAATGGCACTGAATGATACTAAATGATACTGAATGATGCTAAATGATGGTGAATGATACTGGATGATGTTAAATGATGCTAAATGACGTTGAATGATACTGAATGAAGTTGAATGATGCTGAATAATGGTGAATCATACTGAATGACGCTGAATGATACTGAATGATGTTGAATGATGGTAAATGATTTAAAATGATGGTGAATGATGCTAAATGATGGTGAATGATAGTAAATGATGCAGAATGGTACTGAATGACGCTGAACGATACTGAATGATGCTGAATGATACTGAATAATGATGCTGAATGATACTGAATGATGCTAAATGATGTTGAATAATACTGGATGATGTGGAAAGATGCTAAATGATTTTGAATGATACTGAGTGATGCTGAATGATATTGAATGATACTGAATGATGGTAAATGACTTTAAATGATGGTGAAGGATACTGAATGATGTTCAATGATGGTTAATTATGTTGAATGATGATGAATGATGCTGCATGATGCTGAATGATGGTGAATGATACTGAATGACGCTGAATGATGTTGAATGATATTAATTATGCTAAATGATGGTGAATGATACTGAATGATGTTGAATTAGACAGAATGATGCTGAATGATAGTGGATGATGCTGAATGATACTGGATAATACTGAATGATACTGAATGATGGTGAATGATGGCGAATGATACTGGATGATGTTGAATGATGCTAAATGATGCTGAATGATAGTGAATGATGTTCAATGACGCTGAATGATGCTGAACGATACTGAATGACGCTGAATGATACTGAATGACGCCGAATGATACTGAATGATGTTGAATGATGGTAAATGATTGTAAATGATGCTGAATGATACTGAATGATGCTGAATGATAATGAATGATAGTGAATGATGCTGAATGACGCTGAGTGATACTGAATGATAGTAAATGATGCTAAATGATGTTGAATGATGCTAAATGATGGTGAATTATACTGAATAATGCTGAATAATGCTGAATGATACTGAATGATGTTGAATGATGGTAATGATGGTAAATGATGCTGAATGATACTGAATGATACTGAATGATGCTGAATGATGCTGAATGATATTGAATGATGCTGAATGACGCTGAGTGATACTGAATGATGGTAAATGATGCTAAATGATGATGAAGGATGCTAAATGATGGTGAATGATACTGAATTATGTTGAATGATACTGAATGATGCTGAGTGATACTGAATTTTGCTGAATGATACTGAATGATGTTGAATGATGTTAATTATGTAAATGATGGCGAATGATACTGAATGATGTTGAATTATACTGAATGATGCTGAATGATACTGGATGATGCTGAATCATACTGAATGATGCTGAATGATCATGGATAATACTGAATGATACTGAACGATGCTAAATGATACTGGATGATGTTGAATGATGCTAAATGATGCTGAATGATACAGAATGATGTTCAATGATGGTAAATGATGCTGAATGATACTGAATGATGGTGAATGATACTGAATGACGCCGAATGATACTGAATAATGTTGAATGATCGTAAATGATGGTAAATGGTGCTGAATGATACTGAATGATGCTGAATGATACCGAATGATGCTGAATAATAGTGAATGATGCTGAATAGTACTTAATGATACTGAATGATACTGAATGATGCTAAATGGTGGTGAATGATACTGAATGATGTTGAATGATGCTAAATGTTGTTGAATGATACTGAATAATGTTCAATGATGCTGAACGATTCTGAGTGATACTGAATGACGCTGAATGATATTGAATGACGCTGAATGATACTAATGAATGTGACGACCCGAGTACCTGTATTGGCGGTACATGTACAAACACTATTGGTAATTTCAGATGTACCTGTGCTGAAGGTTATAATAAGCAGGGAAATGCTTGTAAAGGTAAGGATGGATGCACATAGATACAAAACAATACAGACTACTCAATATTACTGCACTGAGTATATTATGTAGCCCTGGTATTAGTTAGTTCAGCGCTTCACCCCCTGCGGAGCATAGGTCATCGATGATTCCTCTCGGACTCACGCGATTCTTGGCCCTTTGTTCCAAGTCTGTCCAACGAAGTCCTTGCTCCTTCTAGTCCCAGAAGTCATTTTTGGCGTCTCCGCTCCAGCCTTTTCGCGATGTCGACCTCTACTTCTCTTTCCCTGCGCATTCCAGGTGCCTGACGTATAGGTAGCCGGCATGCAAGACGGTTTATATATCTGGACGGATAACAGAATCGTGCAGTTGGTAACCATACCGATCAAACTGTCGGGACATGAAACACCAAAAGATGTGATGTAGATCGAGTGGAAGTCTTTGAAGAAACAAATTCATGATCACTTGCATCTATCGAAACTCAAACACATACGAAATAAATCATTTTCTCACTCACACGAATGAAAGAGCAAAATTTATTACAAGTCTTCAACTGTCAAAAATCAGAACTTTATTGAAAATGTCTTTTATAAAAGGCAGTTGCCACGTGGCACAGTATTTCGATAAAATTGCACTGCTTTTAGCCAATCAGAATTGAGTAATATTTCCGATTTTTGGGCGTTTATAACCATGGTACTAACGATGTGCTGCTGTTTTGGTCCTGGAACTATCAATGAGTTGAGATTTTGATATAAATGTGTTTGCTTTCTAGATATTGACGAGTGTATGCAACCGAATATTTGTCCAGCTAACGCAAATTGTAACAACTTTCCTGGATTATACAATTGTGTGTGCCACCCAGGATATGGAGGCGCTGCTTGCAATGGTACAGTTCATTAATTCTCGTTTTAATGAAAACTATTATGTTATGTAGTCGGCACCATGGGGGGTTAGAACACCCAGAAAGAATCTCACATCTTCCCAGCAACACGTGTTCACAACAAACCTCTAGCAAGATTTTCAACAAGTTGTAACGATGTTGTGTTAATCAAGTTGCTACAAATTTGTCACAGTTGCAACGTGTTATAACAAGATATTGAAAGGTGGGATGATAACAAGTTATTGGGACAATTTGTAATAAGTCAGTTCATTCATCGACCCTGTAGTAATTAAGTCTGCTGCAGCCTATAACAGTTCCTAAACATGAGGTTGGGGACACTTAGTGCGAAAGTAATCTGATGTACGCTAACATTAAAATATATATTTCCCTAACAGTAATTCAAGGAGTAGGCGCTTTTTTACTAAGTGGAAAAGTGTTGCACGTGGCTGTCAACTTTAAAAGGAAAGACAGTTCTCAGAGTGACTGAATTATGCACTATATTATAGACCTTGTGTGAGGTAACAATGGCAACATAATTAAAGCGGCAGCATTATTTTCTTGTGTATCAACTGTCAGTATATTTGAAGTTGACGTCCATGCGTGTGTTCACCAAATAAAACACGAAACATTCACACACCTATTCGTGGACTCTGTTGATTCGTATTGACCTTGCAATACCTATCATCAGAAAGTAATGGCCATGGTAACAGCTCAAATGGTTTACTAATACACAGATACATACAGTCGAAATGTGAACAATTGAAAATTTGAAGGGTATAAATGGGTTATTGTGCGCTGAAAACACAACAAAAAGTGAACTTTACTTTTTTACCTGTTTCAGATATCAACGAGTGCCTGGAAAACACGGATAATTGTCATGACAATGCCACGTGTTCAAATAATGAAGGAAGTTTCGACTGCCAGTGTATCCAAGGTTACACAGGTGATGGTACAAATTGTGAATGTAAGTAGACAGAAATATTTGCTCTCTTATTGGCGCCATTTTGCAACATTAAAGTGCTTATGTTACAAAAAAAATTTTTTGTATTTGGTAGAGGACAAAAAGTTAGTTAATAGGTTCTTTAACATTTTTCGGTTTTCTCTTTTCATTCGCGAGATACGAGGCTCTAAACCTTGAAAAATTGGCTTTTAGCGAAAAATTGTCGCGCCCGAGAAAAAACCGGAAAAGGGTCTGGGTCGAGAGCTGTGTGACGTAGCTTAAGGGACGGAAGTTCGAATTCACATGCGAAGGAGTACTAAAAAGCTATTGGGAAGACATATGTGTTCCAGCACTCATGGTTCTCAATGTGACTCAGAATACAGTTATATTGCTAGGTATATTATACAGGATGAATCAAATTATACTAGTCACGAAATTGGAACTCTAGAAGCAGTTGATAGCGAAATTTTAGGCAATTATGATGCATATTGTCTGTATGCCGATGAGCCGCTAGCGAGCCAAGAATGCTACACGCGATAAAAGCTACGCGCGATATTTAAAACTATGCGGAACACAAGGAACAAAACGAGATGCTAGAACGAAGATTAGACGGCCTTGAAGATATTAAATCATGGTGAGCGTAAATATAGATTTATTTAACATTTTACGAAGCTTGGTGCTGTCAGGAGATGGAATCTTGTAGGGATGTTCTGAAGGATAACTTCGTTTTAGAAGATGTACCACAGCCGCCGTGCTGTATCACTCTACACTCGGGATTCAGATTAAATAGACGTGATCACAGATAAACACTGTAGCTTCAAACAAGAATATATTCTGAACCAGTCTGTTTATATTTTCTTTGATCTCGTGTCTTGTATTTTCTTGCGAAGGTGAGGGAAGTGTGGTTTTAACTCTTTGTTGTGACTGATGCCATAATTGAGCCCTTTCCCGCAAAATATATTAGCCAGAGATACTTATGTTACGTTAAAATGTTAAAATAAATCTATGTTTACACTCACCATAATTTAATATCTCCAAGGCCATTTAACCTTCGCTGTAGCATCTCTTTTTGTTGCTTGTGTTCTGCTGAATTTCTGAAATATCGTCATGCGTACCATTCTTCGCCGGCTAGCGGTTCATCGGCATAAAGGCATGCATAATAATAATAATAATAATAATAATAATAATAATAATAATAATAATAATAATAATAATAATAATAATAATAATAATAATAATAATAATAATAATAATAATAATAATGATTTATTATCAGTATTTCCATACAATGGCTCTTCACCTGATAAAACTACCACTAATATCTAAAGAAATAGTAAGAAAGTTGTAAACCTAGACCTAAGCATTACAATTAAGTAGTGAGACAGCGTTGCTTTAAAATATTAAAAGTTTGTCTGGAGAAGTCTCTATGATCTGTGCATGATTTTATATCAGCTGGTAGAGAATTAAATAATGAGGCTGAACAATCTTGAAAGGTATTAGAAACTAAAGGTATAACTAAATTGACTTTACTATTAGCTATAGTAAATTAGTTCTCCTCTATTCTTCGCGCCGCCCGAAACCCAGGGCCTGTTCGCAGGCTACTTTTATAATAAATTAATAATCCATATATTTCTTAGGTAATGAAAGCTTACAGTAATGATTCCTCAATGAAGAGAGTTGATTTTGAGAGTTTCCAAGACGTGAATGGCAAAGTGAAAGTAACACTCAAGATGATTTTCAATGCTTCAAACACAGACCCAGCAGCGGGATTGAGATCCAGTATGGCAGATGGCATGTTGGGACAGTATGCTGTTGACCCGGCTAGTTTGGACTTCGCGCAAGTGCAGGGTAAGTGGACATTCAGGGTGTTAAAGGCATATTCAGGGTGTTAAAGGGATATTCAGGGTGTTAAAGGGATATGTTATCAGGGTGTTAAAGGGGTAAGTGGATATTATAGAGTGAAAAAAAGTTTTGTCCGTTAAACGTAAATTGGGAAAGTTTTTTTGGTCGATCAAAGTCCTTGCGTAGCAATAAATAGTGTTTTTTTTCCAACGTGTTTCTCCTTACTGTAGATGCAAACAACGGTAGCTTTCTTTTGTACATTTCATTTCCGGTGAATGAACTCTGAAAAATGCACCCGATGGCACTTCGTTTTCTATATTTCATTTCCGGTGAATGAACACGGATGCACACCGATTACACTTTGTTTTGTGAGGGTCCTGAAGGGAAGGGGGGGGGGTCCCAATCCCATTTCCCACCTGAAATTTTGGCAAAATCCCAGTCCCAGTTGGATTGTTATTAGAAATCCCAGTCCGAGTTATTGAAACAGATAGGGTGACCCTAGCAGCAGGGCTATCATTTTGTTTACATAAGCCATGTAAACGCATCAGGTAGGGTTAGCAAGCGAGTCATGTTTTATATGCCCTACTGTGACTGGTGAACAAACAAGGATACATATGAACATATCAGCCTGACGAGTATTTTAAACGACAGCAGAAAATAAAAAGGTTAAGCAATCTACACATAAGGAAGCAGAGGCAGAGAACGAAGCTTTGTCTTTGGACGAGAACACTGCGAATCTGCCTCGTACCCAGACGTCTCTTTAATATAATTTAATATAATTTCGTTTTCATTATTAATTATGAAGATAATCTCGCCACTTTTCCATCTGCTTTTCATCTACTTTCCTTCCTTTCGCGTACGTTCGCGCTGCAAGAGACCAAGAGACGCCTGTGGAGGAGGCAGGCTGCGAATGATGTAGTTTCAGATAGCAAAGTCAAAGACGGCGAAAAGGAAGTAAAATTCTGGTGCATCCTCATCGACGTCAAAAAAACAAAATAAGTGCTCTTGGTCAGCCGAACATGTCGAAAAACTGTTGGACTGTAGAAAATTACTCTCAACAGCCTCCGTAAATAATTTCCCACAAAAATAATAATACTGTAAAGTTTAATACATAATAAATCTCATATTAATCCCGATACTGAGTCACTCGCTTCGACTCCTCACAACAACAACACATGTGCTTCCCGCCAAAATTTCCCCAACCCGATTTTAGGGTGGGTGTTTCCATGCAAGTGTTTCCATCACACTCCCCCCATATGCATTCTAGACTAGATGCATATGTTATAACTGTCCGTTGTTCTATGATCTAATAAAGTTCGGTATATAACCTTAATATTACTAATAGCTAATAATGTCAACGTTAATAAGAGTCCACTACTCTTGTTAATGATTAATGTTAAGTGTTTATATCTCGTCTTCTTCTTCTATCTCTTGGATTTGTCTAATCCGGGCGTTTGCTGTAGCTGCTGCGGCTCGCTTGGGTCGGAATTCTGTTGCTCTTGGGTTTAGACTCACTCCGTTCGCGATCGGCTTGGCATCACAAGCTAACTCAAGTGGATATAACAATTGGACTGGCCTTTCTATTGTTCCCTTTCCAGTCTTGAGCTGAACGCCTCGAATAACTCCGTCTTTACCAACGAATGTTTTAGTAACCACTGCTAGGGGCCAAGTTCCTCGATTCTTGGAATCTGCTTTCACGATAACTACATCGCCTTCCGTCGGTCGAAATTTGCTCACTTTATGCGTTAGATTGTGTCTTTCCCTTAGTGCAGTCAGATATTCTCTTTGCCATCTACGCCACAACCCATCCTTGCACGATTTAAGAAATTTCGCTCGTTTCCGAATATCTTGTTCTGCTATTGTCCAAGTCTGCTGTTCTGGCAAATGAGACGTGCGCTGATATAGGAATGTTTCTGGTGTCAACGTTGGCAACTCTAGATCATCTTCAACATAGCTGAGCGGTCGACGATTAATTTGCGTTTCGACATCCAACAATACTTCACTAAGCTCCGTCCAAGTAAGAACACCATTCCCAATTACTTTGTACATGGCGGACTTAACAATTGCAATAAGCCTCTCAAACTGTCCGCCCCACCATGGGGCACGACTTAAATTGAACCTCCATGTTATCTCGTACTGTTCTAGAAGACCTCGAAGTCGTTCATCCTTCCGTAGCTGTGAAATCCATTTTGCGGCTTTAATAAATGTTCCACCATTGTCTGAGTAAATGATACGTGGTCTTCCACGACGCGCAATAAATCGCTTAAGACATGATATGAACGTTTCCATGTTTGGTAATAACTCTAGATGCACAGCTCGAGAAAGGCTACACGCGAAAATAGCCAAATATACCTTTCCTTCCTTGTTGCCTTTCTGCTTATATCTGATAGGACCAGCAAAATCTGTACCGATGACTTCAAAGGCTCCTCCGACCGTGGTGCGTTCTTCTGGTAGTTGACCTGGTACCGGTTTATTGATCGCTGACGCGCGGAATCTCTTGCACCCATAGCAGTTGCTACGAACGATTTTGACTAAGCTTCGCAACCGTGGTACCCAGAATTGCTCTCTAACTGCAGCCATAGTTAAGTTTACTCCCCCGTGGAGCGTTTCACTGTGTACTCGTTGTACTAGCTTCTCTGTAAACTTCGCGCCTCTTGGAAGGAATATTGGATATTTTCCTTGAATTCTCCCGTGACATACCAGTATATTATCTGCATTAGTACGTAATCCTAACTCTTCCACCAACTTTGGATAGTGTGGTTCTTTCTGTACTCGTTGTTGAACACGCCGAATCCACCAATCGCGTTCTCTGATTACTTCTTCCGTCGTAATTGGTCCGGACCTTTTATCGTTATTTCTGCAGTTGTGTATGAACCTCTTGATCCACACCCCAACTCTACAGGCTCGTCTTAAGTTTAAGCGTTCCAGTAATCGATCGAATTCGTCGGCATCGTCCTTGACATTTACGACATTTAATAGTTCCTTTGTTGCTCTTGCTTCCGTCTCTGAGGATGGCGAAGCTTTCGTCACCAAATTTTCTAGCCACTCACTCTCGTCTTGAAGCCATTTTGGACCATTCTCCCAAAGCGCTTTCTGTTTGATTTGACCACCCCTGCTTGCCAGGTCAGCGGGGTTATCACTTGTGGGCACATATCTCCAATGGATCTCTTTGTGTAACTGTATCTTGGCCACTCTGTTTGCCACGAATTGTTTATACTGACCGTTCCCTTTGAGCCAATGTAGGGCAACTGTACTGTCAATCCACCCGAATAGTTGTGGTGTTGGGATATTATCAAGGGCGTTTCGTACGTTGATAAGCAGGTTAGTAGCCATGTGCGCGCCAACCAGTTCAAGCCTAGGTATTGTTAAGGTTTTCTTGGCAAGACGACCTTTCGCTGCTACAAGTTGTTGAGTGGTTCCACTAAATGCATGTAGCTCTACAGCTTCGATTTCTTCCTGATGACGAGTGATTGATCTTGGTACTGAATATTCCCCAAGCGTTTCTTCCTCCCATTTTTTCCAACGTTGTTGAAGGTTCTCGTTTAATGGGGTATCCCACGCCTTTTGAGATTCACAGACTTCTCGGTAGATTTGTTTACCTTCGAGTGTCACTGGTGCGATAAGTCCTAGAGGGTCGTAGATCCTGGCTAGCTTTCCGAGTACTCCACGTTTAGTCGGTTGAACCTCTTCTTTGGGGACTACTACACTCAAAATGTCCTGTTGCTTATTCCATTTCAGCCCGAGTATCTTTGAATCTTGTTGATTTACATTCAATTGTTGCTTCGCGTAGGTCTGCTCGTCTTCTGCTTGCGTTGTGGTCTTGTCTTCCAGTTCAGGAACATTGGAATTCCACTTGTGTAGTTGAAATGTGGCGTCTTGAAGTATCTCACTGGCCATTTCCTTCGTGTGTTGTGCTTGCTCGGTTGTTTGTCCACCTGACAGAAGGTCATCAACATATAGACTCTTTCTCAGCTCAGCTACAACTTCAGGACATTTCCTTTCCCATGTGTCAAGATGAGCTTCTAGAACACCGTTGAGGAGAAACGGAGAAGGGGCAAGACCAAACAGAACCCGCGTAAAACGGTATGTCTCGATTTCAGCTTCTTCACCCGACCGCCAATGGAATCTTAGGGCATCTCGTTCGGTTTCTCGTACACGTGTTTGTAAGAATGCTTGGCGAATGTCTCCGGTTACTGCAACTGGATAAACGCGTCGTCGGACTAGAACATCCCATAGTCAATTGAGAAGTGGGGGTCCGGGGTTAAGGCATTCGTTGAGGGATGGGGAATCAGGAGACGCACGTGCTGACGCGTCATAAACGACTCGTAACTTTGTCGATGATGCCGCTTCTCGCACAACCGGTTTGTGCGGAATATAGAACTCTTGACCCGAGGCTTTGACAGAGCTTTCTCAACGATATTTTCTTTTACTTGACTCTCAATAACTTCGTTATACGCTACCGTTAAGTCCTTTCGCTGTAAACTTTTCTCTAGCTTGCTCAATCGATGTAGACTTCCATGTTCGTTATTCGGCAAATCTGGATGGTTAGCTCGCCAAGGTAACCCTGTCTCGTACCAGCCTTCTTTGTCACGGTGAAGTTGCTCCTTGAACTCAGCATGCACGATAGTTTGGTCATTCTCAGCTGCATCAGCAAGTCCAAGAATGTCCATGCGACATAAACCTTCGTAATCACTTTGTGAAGTTTGCGTCAACAGCATCCGGTTCCGGTCGAACTCTGTTCCAGGGCTCATTATGAACCATCCCATCTTCGTCAGCTCCGCGACTGGGCCACCTTCCTTTCTCACACAAGGTTTCGTCTCGGTCTTGATGCGTGCGTATTCGCCACTTCCAAAGATAACATGCACAGGAAGTTGACTCTTGGTGTCTTTGTCTGCGATTATCACCTCAGACAGATGGGCGTTGTCTCGTATGAGGTCAGCGTAATTTGGGTTTTCAACAGTGAGAAGTTCTGGTTTATTCACTTTGATGAACTTCACTGGCATTTGGTACTGTCCGTCAACGGATTCAGTGTTCAATTCGTATATGTCCATGCGTACACTCTTCGAGGACATAAGCATTTCAACTTGCTTTGTTTGTGTCGAAATAGGTTTCGCTTTCACTACTTCTACGAGTTTCGCTGAAATATATGAGCTCCCAGATCCTGTATCGATTAACGCTCTACACTTGACTCCGTTCACCTTGATAACAATAACTGGCAACACGCTTTAGCTCGACTGGTTTGTAGTCATAACTTGCTCCTTTCCTTCGACTTTTGATGTATCACAGATGGAAGTGTGGTGTCGTTTTCCACAATTTTGACAGGATCCCTTGCTGGAACACTCAGCTGCACGATGGGTTCCAATCGCACAATTGAAGCATAATCGTTTTCTTGCTAGAATTTGTTTCCGTTCTGTCACACTAGTAATCTTGGTGCAGTTCCCTGCTTTATGAGTTACGTCACCGCAATAAACGCATTCACGTGACTTCGCATGAAAGGATTTGATTTGTCGATCTTTATCTCGATCTGTACGACTTTGGTCCACGGGGTTCCTCTTGACCCACTGGCGAACTGCCTCTGATAACTGGACAAAGGTCCACCTCTCCCAGTCAGGGTCTGTTCGAACAAGATCCCCCCTAATCCCGGGGAGTTTGTCCAACGTCATCGCGACGTTGCCGTTAACCTGACTCAGTCTGTTCATTGTTTGCAGCGCTTGCACACAATGGTTAAGACGCTCACTAAAATCTCGAATTTTCTTGGGGTTTGCACCGTGAATATATGGCAAATCCATTATATCCTTGACATACGACTTAATAATTTCCGATTCTTTCCCATAGCGATCTTTCAGGATAGATTTTGCCTTGTTGTAGCCCTCTGTAGTAAGGGTAATGAATCAGTAACATGCTTTATTTTGGGGTTAAGCAACTCACAGAGGAAGGTAAATTTCGTGATGGGGGGCATATTAGTTTTATCGACTGTTTCTGTAAACTGTCCCCAGAACCTTTGCCAATCTTGAAAATCTCCACCAAATTTTGAAATAACTAACTTCGGTAGTTTAGCTAATGTACTTTGTTGCGACTCACCTTGCAAATTCCCCTCTTTATTTATTGTCAGTGTTTCCACTTTCGCACTTGCTAACTTCGTCTCGAATTCCATTCTTGTTTTGAAAAGCATTGTTTCAAATTGAATTTGTTCGTCTCTCGCTACGTTATCCTTCTCCTTTCGACGCTGATCAAGCCATGTTCTCAGTTCTTCGACGACTTTATCCGACTCCGCTAGTTTATTGTCGATTTCCGTGTTCCAAGCTGTAATTTCCGTAATGTCTGTCTCGGCTTGTATTTTAATCTCTTCGACAGCTACTCGCATTTCGTTTATGCTATTTGTTATAGATTTGATAGTAGCACAATGTCTCTCGATTGCATCTTGTTGATTCGATTCGACAATCGTACCTGTTCGATCTACAGTAAGCTTTAATTGTTTCAACTTCGTATCCAATTTCTTCGCTTCCATGTTTCCACTTTATAATCTCGCTTAAAATCTCGCTTAAAATCTCGCTTAAATCTCGCTTAAAACTCGCTTAAAATCCCGTCGTCGAGGTGCCACTTGTAGAAAATTACTCTCAACAGCCTCCGTAAATAATTTCCCACAAAAATAATAATACTGTAAAGTTTAATACATAACGCTTCGACTCCTCACAACAACAACACATGTGCTTCCCGCCAAAATTTCCCCAACCCGATTTTAGGGTGGGTGTTTCCATGCAAGTGTTTCCATCAGGACTATATCAAGGAATACATTATGCAATGCGAGTAATAGACCACAACATTGAAATAACAGACCACAACATTGAAATAACAGACCACAACATTGAAATGCAGCAAGCAAAGGCCTAATAAATAGCATTACACAACTTGCCAACAGACAGCTTAGCGACCACGCATAGGTAGGGTTGCCCAATCGGGCAACATAGCCCTAGCAGTAGGGTTACCCTACCTCATGTAAACGCTCGCTACTTTATGACCCACTTGCTAGGGTAACCCTCGTGATAGGGTCACCCTACCTCCATGTAAACAGGCCCTAAGACCTTTTAAGCCACTGTGTGTGCACACCGTGTGGCAGAAGCGGTTGTGCTTTGCCTTTGAGGTATATACTAAGGGTTAAATGAAGTATATACCGGAAACCAGGCATATATTCCGCTGTGCATCTGATTTGGGACACACATAATCAGAAAACCCAGAATTCTGGGCGCCAGAGTCTATCAAATATGATCTTGTAAGTCTATTAAAATATTGATTTACATTACCATGACAACGAAATGCTATTTTGCGACTCCATTTCCACCTTCACAATTGTTGTTTCAAAACAGTTAATTAAGGCCAAAAAGGTGTTTTTAACAAATTATAAAATAATTATCATTCTATCAAAATATTGAGCATCATTACTGTGGCAACTGACGTCATTCTCCAGGACTCCATATCCACCCTCGCAATTCCTGTTTCAAATGCAGCTTTCCCAATCATTGAACGTCAACCCACAGCCGCCTAAATTAAGGGTTGATGTTGTCGATATCACTTTGAAGATCAACCGTCTTTTGACTTTCAACTCCCTTTGGTATCGTCAGCGAAGCTGAACAACATGGCCTTGGGTAGATCGTTCACATATAGGAGAAAAAGTACTATCCCTCCTCTCGTTCCTATAAGTCTACCAAAATATAAGTCTATCAAGATATAAATCTATCAAATATCTTCTTATAAGTCTATCAATATATTGAGCTGTATTACCATGACAACGACGTCATATTTTGCGACTCCATATCCACCTTCATAATAGGCAATTCCAGCTTTTAGTTTAGTCGTGCAGGGGGGGGGGGATGGGAAGTAAGGTATCTTATATAATAACTACAGTGAAACACGCAAATAAGTGTCATCCTATCAAAATATTGAGCGAGATTACCATGGCAACTGACGTCATTCTTCTGGACTCCAAACCCATCCTCGCAATTCCTGTTTCAAATGGAACAATTGCCATTCTTTTTTCTTTTTACAAATTATAAAATACATGTCAGTCCATCAAAATATTAGCCACATTACCATGGCGGGGACGTCATATTTTGGGACTCCATAACCACCCCTAAAATTCCTGTTTCAAAAGAAGGAAATTCTGTCAATGTACATGTATATAATAACTGTGATAGTTCTTACAAAGATTCCTTTCTAACCTGGAAATCATGACAATTGTAAAAGCATTCTACCATTTATTCTGGTTATTTCTGATATGTATATATTTCTGATATGGTTATTTCTGATATAGTTCAACCATTTCCCCCACAGACCTTGTTAAGTTTAAATCTATTATCTTTCGAAACAGGAAAATATCCTGTAGTGAAAATAACTACCGTTTTAGCACAAACTATGCTAGAATAGACTATTTAGCAACATGTAGATTGCAGAGCGATACCTATGAAAGCATTAGATTTTAGAGAACTCATGCATGACAGATCTCCACCTCGAGGAAAGAAGATGAAGACTAATGTGTATTCCATCGTCATGGTCATAGCTGTGCTATGTAGACTCTCGTTTATTGAAGGATGTTTGGAAATTGATGCATCTTTTAGCACACCAAGAGTGTCAAGTAGCTGGACACAAATAACTCATTTAAGGTCGGTAAAATATATTTGACAAGGCGTTTTAGCAAACAGAAGCTATATGTAGGTTAATATATATCGGCATGCTGTATTATTGAGATAAGAATCCCAACTTTAAACAATTAAAACAAAAAACATGCACATATGTAAGTGAGAATTTTTATGATAAAAAAACATGTTTATTTATCATGTTTCATTCGCTACACGGCCTACTCTGGTCTAAATAAATGATTACAAAGTCCAGTCGAATTGAAATCAAGACCCAACGTTTCGACACTCCAGTTACTAGACTCAGGATCAGGACAGGATCTTTTTAATAGTTAATAGAGCGAGATGATCAAACTCTCGATATTTATCCGTCCGTTCATTTGTATCGCTTTATTTAACAGCTGCAGCAATAATCTGCAGACTTTTGGTGCGACGCAGTTTTCGGTATTTTACTGTCTATAAACGACAGATCTAGACGATTTTTTTCGTCAAAAAGAGATTCTACGGTTATGGCCTTAAATAGTTAGACTACGGCCTCAAATAGTTATTATAAAATAGTTAGTTCCCCTAAGGCGCTATATAGTAACATTAGATTGCTCAATTGTTTGTGTTCATTCGTATGCTTACTTTCAAGTCTAGTTTTTAAACTAATTTCCATAATTTCGCTGCGGTTTCTTTGACATAATATAAAATAATTAATAGATAATTTCTTTGCAATCTTTGTCAAGCTTTGCCTTCTTTGACAAAAAAACCCCAGAATAGCCGCAGGCGAAAATTTTGTTTTTACCCATCGACTGAAACAGACATTTTATAGAAGTCGCCCGTCACATTACTCTCATTTAATAGAGGTATCCCAAAAAAGCATCAACTTGTTGAAAAATGTGGAACAAGCAGCATCTTCAATATCAGATAGCCTGCATGATAACAGGTTGATAAACTATGCAGTGTAATATAAAGTAAATCAGGACATTTCGTCTCCCATCTCTGTATTTCAGATCCACAATTACAAGTCCACAAACGACTGATGTAATCCCTAAACCAACCAAAGTAAGCCATCAATTGCAACCAACTACACTAAGCTCACAATCAAGCATAGTTATTCGTCAGCCAGCCAACACATCACCAACAGACGCAAGTCTACCATCAACCGACACAACACCATCGCTAACCGACACAAGCCGATCACCAAGCGGCACAAGCACACCAGCAACGGACGCAAGCGCATCACCAATGCAGAAAAGCTCGTCGCCAACGGATACAAGCACACGACCAACCAACGCAAGCCCATCAACAACCGAGGCAAGCACACGACCAACCAACGCAAGCCCATCACCAACCGAGGCAAGCACACGACCAACCAACGCAAGCCCATCACCAACTGACGGAAGCACACCACCAACAAACGAAAGTCCACAACCAACAAATGTAAGCTTACCATCTACCAACACAAGCCCAAGCCCACAGCCAACAAATGCAAGCACACCATCAACAACCATAGGATATTTATGCGCAAAACCACCCAAAAAGAAACCAGTAAAAAAGGGCAACTGCTTCAAAGGTACGTACTATTTACAATGGCGATATACTATATGTAATTTCTATCTGCAAAATTTGGACCTAAGACTTCACCTTATATACTCATCATTCCAGACCTAGCATGTAGTGATCTATCTAAATGTTAAAATGTGAACTGAAATGAAAAAAATGAAATTTGCTTCATTTCCACGATTTTCCAAGTACCAAAGAATGCCGTTTACACACCGAGTTGTTTATAGATTTGTGAATATATGTAAATGAAACATCTGTTATTACTTTTGGATGAAGATCTTTGGGATGAAGCAAAGTTAATTTTTACTTCATTTCCTCCTTAGCGTACAGAAAACTGGATGCAGGGCGAAGATTTTTTCATGTTCTGTTATTAGGTTTAGGGCTTAACTGTTAATTTCCACGATATTATATACGGAGAAGGGGTGGTGGAGGGAGAGAGGTGTTCTATACATGGGCTAAGAGGTTACACAAGGATAGTGAAAAGGTGGGAGAAAAAGTTTAAAACCAACAGCATAACAACCAGGTTGGCAAATCCACAAAATAAATCGAATGCTTAATACATATATGTTACTCTGCCCAAACATTTCAGTGAATCGCGGGCAGTTAACGTTCGACGCAGAAGGAGAAAGAGAAGAAAGAGGAAGAGCGGTTAGGGTGCACACCCGAATACTTCGTGTTCCGACTAACATGTCTGGTTTAAACATAGGACGGGGATACGACATGAAAGATAAAGATAAAGATTGAATTGAAAGAGATCTCGGAAACGCAGGGATAGATAAAGCAAAACTGCTTTCTTGTGCTGCGCGACTTCGGGGCAAAGCTGCCAAAAAGTTTATCAAGGTAATCTTTCTTATATCGACGAAATATTTCTTGTATCAAAGTAATATTTTTATGTAGGTAATATCTTGCGGTAAGGCAATATATTTTTTAGACCGTATCAAAGTAACACATTTCATGTTATGTTTTCGTTAGCTTACCAACTGCATATTTGTGGCTTTAGCACTGAACAAATGGATTTACATGGTCCACATTGTACACCCCTTCCTCAATATTTTTTCGAATTTCAATGAATCTAAAACAACACTCTGAAAAACATTTGCTTTAGTTTAAGGCCTTTCACTATTCATTTTTCCTAAAAAAATTAGCCTTTCGCATGCTATAAATTAATTCCTTTACCTAATTTGCATATTGCTGACATATGCAAATTTGGCAAAGGCACTAATTAGCATGCAATTATTTAGAAAAAAAATGTAAGTTTGCGTGAGTAGTCAAAAGGCTTAAACTAAAGCAAATTGTCTGAAACTCTTTATAGTAATTAAAAACCCAACAAACTTTCCAAACATTGACTCAAAATATGATTAATGCTTTTAAATTCCGTGCGCAAGCCATTTTTATTTTGTCGGAAAAAAAACACACACCCTTGGTTCACATAATTTGAGTGCGAGAATTTTTTTTTTTATTATTCTACATTATAAGTACCCAAAGAAGCTATATATATATATATATCAAGAAATTGATACTAATATTATATATATATATATATATATATTATATATATATATATATATATATATATATATATATATATATATATATATATATATATATATATATATATATATATATATATATATATATATATATATATATATATATATATACAGTGTGTATGAAAATAATTCGAATCCAAATTTGACAGACTGCTGTTTATAAAATACTAAAGTAAACCATATAATTTTTATATGGCAATAAAGAATAGCCTATTAGGTTTCCGATTATATCGTTCTTATATCAATAAGATCAAAAATGACCAAGAAATCGTGTGTTAAAGCTCGAAATCAAATTTTTCCGCCGATGGGAATTCGAAGTGAGACGTACAAACAAAAGATAATGCAAATTTAACTAATCAACAAACTGTTATGTAGCAAAATTTACATAAATTCGTGTTCATTTAAAGAGATTTAAGCTCCTATGCCTTCAACATGTTGAACGAGAAGAAATTCGGGTTAAATTTGCATTTTAGTTTTCAGTGATGATTAGCATTTCAAAGCCTTGTGGGACTAACTTTGAAAGAAAAAATGTCGAATTCCCATCGGCGGAAAATTGTGATTTTTATGGACTTTTTTTGTCAAAGCAATACTCCTTCATTTTCCAACTAAATGACGCGTACAGCATGTCATTTGAAAGGTAAATAAATGAACTTAACAATGGTATAAAAACCAACCGAATTTGTCAAATATATTCTGCGTTATTACACGCCAAATTTGGATTCGAATTATTTTGATACACACTGTATATGTATATATATATATATATATATATATATATATATATATATATATATATATATATATATATATATATATATATATATATATATATATATACATATATATATATATATATATATATATATTCGTTTTACCTCAAAAAACCACAACAGTCTGCTTCATCCGTATAGGAATCATCAGGTGGTGAATAATTTCGAAATTGTAGGTTGCTTTTATGCTATCGAAAGAATGTGCGGAATGCGTGTAGGCGAAACAATGCTTAGGTGAAACAATGCATGCTTGGGTCATTAGGTTTTGTTAACGACCTTGTTTACTCGAAACCGGTTTTTGTGGCGACATTTGCCGAAAATTTCGCTTCTTTTATTGAGTAAATTGTCTTTGTTTATGTCTTTCAAAATGCAAAATTTTTCTTCTAAACATAAATTGCAGCGTTTCGAGAGAAACCAGTACTAAAAATGTACTAAAGTAATAAAGTTTTAATTTTCGACTGAATGTCTCAGCCTTCCTCGAAAATTAAAACTTTATTACTTTAGTACATTTTTAGTATTGGTTTCTCTCGAATCGTAGCCAGCTATTCTGTTGTATATAAATGTCGAACTGGCTGATACGACTATTGTATTTTGTCATCTATATATATATATATATATATATATATATATATATATATATATATATATATATATATATATATAGTTTTTCGTTTTACCTCAAGAAACCACAACAGTCTGTTTCATCCGTATAGGAATCATATACGGATGAAACAGACTGTTGTGGTTTTTTGAGGAAACACGAAAAACTATATTACGCTCTATCTATATGGTATTGAGCACTGTTTGTGTTTCGTAAACCAAAATCTTAAGCTATATATATATATATATATATATATATATATATATATATATATATATATATATATATATATATATATATATATATATACTATATATATATATATATATATATATATATATATATATATATATATATATATATATATATATATATATATATTTGCAGTTTGAGCACTCTGGCAATGGTTTGATGTCCCACATTCGTGAGACATCAAAGGTAACTATTTATAGTGGTTACTTTCATCCTGCTCATCAGCACTACACTGATGAGGCCCAAAAGGCCGAAACGGTACCGTCTGTAGTTAGATATTGCTCTATGGCCTTTGTGTCATATTGAGCACTCTACAGGATGAGCCATTGTTGCTTACGCATTGTGCGCATGCTCACTGCTTGCAGTTTGAGCACTCTGGCAATGGTTTGATGTCCCACATTCGTGAGACATCAAAGGTAACTATTTATAGTGGTTACTTTCATCCTGCTCATGAGGCACTACACTGATGAGGCCCAAAAGGCCGAAACGGTACCGTCTGTAGTTATATATATATATATATATATATATATATATATATATATATATATATATATATATATATATATATATATATATATATATATATATATATATATATATATATATATATATATAAATAAAAAAATAAATATAAATTCGGCCTATTAGAAAAGTGAAGCCAAAGTGGCGGCCATTGACGTCGAATAGCTCTGAAGTTTAGCCGCTAACGTCGGGGAATTTTTTGGCCGCTCCTTTAAATTTTTCCTCCCATACGTCTATGCTAGGTTTCCTCAAAATTGCAGACCATTGCAGGCATAAAATAGAACAAAAATAGCTAAACATTTTATAAACACTCGTTACTAGTTAGCTTACTTTTCGTATCAAAAACATTTCTATCTTCTTGCAGCGTATCAGGTTGTTTGATGCTTACGCGATGTCAGCCATGTGTAAAGCTGGGTTTGAAGTGCTAGATGTGTTTCCAGTAACCGCCTCCTACTTACCTGGGACAATTGATATCGTGCATTACACGGATGACGTGTTCAACACGGCGGAGATTGAATTAGAGAAGTACGTTAAGATTGGAATGGAATATGAAAGCACTGCAGTTTGTATTAAGTAAAGCCTGGTATACATTATCAAAGTTTCTGTGATCACAGTAGGAATTTTGCATACGTAAGGCCTGTTTTATACGTCGAATTTTGGTCGGGTCGAATGCAATTAAGACAATAGGTAATGAGATGATAAACCTCATTAAGCTTCATTATCTATTGTTTGAATTGCATTCGACGCGCCCGAGATTCGACGTATAAAACAGGCCTAAGGGACGTTCATTATTATACTCGGGGTTTGTACCGAAGAGATATGGGTTGGGTAATCAAGTTTTTGACTAGCTCATGGGTTGGGTAAAAAAATTATGGCTGTCTGTCGGCTATAAAATAAAACTAAACCATGCATTGGAAAATATGAAGAATAATGTGTACACTACATTCTGTACCAAAATAGACCATCAGTGATTGCGGAAGGACTCTATCATTGATCAGCAGGAACGTGTGATTGCTTTGGCACACTCAGTGAGTGTGAGTGAGCTTTTAGAATTTAGGCAACTTGATTTCTGTCACCATGATCTTGTGTGTTTAATTATTATGAAGTACAGTAACACATGGGTTGGGTAAACATTATTTTGACCAATGTTGAGGTTGGGTAAATAAAAAATTTACAGTGTTTTTCGCTTCTCTTCGGTACCAACCCCAGGTATAAATAATGAACGTTCCCTAAATTCTAAGTTTTGAAGGATTTGAAAGAAATGTTTGAGGAAACACCAACTCAGTTTCCTCAAACATTTCTTACAAATCCTTCAAAATTTAGAATTTACCGATGCAAAATTCCTACTGTGAAGAAAAGCGCGAACTAAAGTCGTTTGCCTTTTAAAACCCCAACATCGGATCCATCCGAATATATTATTCTTCCGACACAATTTTATATTATTTTCCCCGTTCTTAAACATGGTAAAATGATGCCACATAAATTTCACTAAATTTCAAGCGAATCTTCGGTATACTCGAATGGTTTAGGTGCCTTGCAACCCACTCAGAATTCACGGATATTTGCCCTGGGTCTGGGGGCAAAGTTCGTTCTTTGAACAACAAATTAATTTTAAGGTGTGAACGACTGAACGTTGTATGTACGCATGCGTAATATTGTGTCGGACAAATATAATAGCGGTGACCGTAAAGCCTGTTTTCCACTTCAACCGTATCGTAACGTAACGTAGCATTTTCTTTTGTTTCCAAGTCATTAGTTCCACTCTAGTGGTCAGGAAACAAAGAAATACGCTTCGCTACGATACGGTCGAAGTGGAAAACCGGCTTTACACGTACATTGGGATTTGGTGTCGCCCTGTATATCAAATAAAAAACTATTTATGTTCCCTAGCAATAAACACGATTTAGTGAACACGTAATTAAACTAATTGCTGTTTTACCTGTAAAACCGGCCATAGCTCGTTGGTTACATTTCAGTGCTCGTTCGTAATATCTGTAATTTACATGTATAACGTGTTTACTCGTAAACTAATTTATTAAATGCAATAAATGAGTAGATTTTGAAAGAAACAAATTTTACTCTAAAATGTGTGAAGTATTTTTGATTGAAATATTGTTTGTGCAAGTGAAAAGGCTTTAGAGAGACTCGCTGTTGGCGACTTTATATATTTATTCTAGCAATGCTACAATGGATTTCCGGGAAAAAATTGTATGTTGGACTATTTATGGAAATTAGCCCCCCCACCCCCCAAAAAAAAGTGTTTAAAACAATAACCACTTAGCTTTGTTTCGTAATGTAAAGCCTGCGTGTGTTTTCAAAATTTTGTCGTTACCAACGATACTTTGAGTTGATGGGAAAGACGGCTAGAAATGATGCTCGTGATGTTACTCTGAGTGCATATCCACACCGGGCAAGGTTGAAAAATATGCCTGGCCACGGTGGGAATCGAACCTACGACCTTTGGGATACTAGCCCAATGCTCTGCCAACTGAGCTACGCGGTCAGGTCGGTTCGTGTGTGTGATATTTCGGAACCGAGTCTAGTATAGTTCCTTCGATATCAATGTAATCTAGAATCATGATTTGTTTCTGTGTTGGTGCAATGTAACATCACAAGCATCATATTCACCTGAGTACATTACACCAACACAGAAAAAATGACGGCTAGAAATGTCAAACACCAGACACTACAAGTTCTGGGAAAAATTTTACCGTACAATTTTTTGGGAACAAAAAATGTTACACAGAAATATACCAACGAGGGTTTTCGTCACCAGTATAGTTAAGAATGCATCGGGCAAGGACGGATTGATAAATCATAACTATGAAAGTGGCCAATTATTAGACAATATGTAACGTTCATCAGTTCATTGTTAGTGAGCTTTTGTCAACATAAGATGTCACCCAGAAAATTGGTATGACTAATTTTGGCGGCATTTTACCTCATGGCGCTCGTGTAAGGAAGCAAAAACCTTTAAAAATCTTATGTTTTGTCATATGTGTTCAAGATTTACCACAAGCTGATACAAACAGGGGGGGGGGGTGTAGTTGCCCCTGCTGCCCTCTGCACTGTGTACAGCCCTGTTAGATGTGTATTATGTTTGACTTTAAAATCTTATTTGCTATTATATTATAATAAGTGATGAAATATTTCAATTGTCCCATGTCATCTTCATTATTCAGTTCCTTTCAAGAAAATACAAAATGTGAATCAACTTTTTTCGCAGATACATGTACGCGTCGCGTACCTATTTTTAATCCAGTCCCCCCTCGGCAATCTGACGTCCTTGTTGACAAAAACGTCGCTTGTGTAAGCTTCTGTTGGTCATTGTAGACGGTAGTCACATTTCAAAACATTTATTTAATACTTTCAACGTATGCACATAACTAAAATAGATAGAGTTTAATAGTAATTTGTAGAATGAACTAAGTTTTGTCCACATTGATATTATTAACTTTACCTAATTAACTCAAATCTTTGAAGATAGGTCACATTTGAGCAATACACCCCAACGGACAGTGCCTTGGTTATAGAGCCTCGTTTTCGGGATTGCGACGTTGGACTTGAACTGATAGAGACCTTACGATTTTAGGACGGCAACGCGACGGCAACGGCTACCAATACAATAGATCATTGAAAAGAATTGAGTAATTACAATATATGAATAATTTAGACTTGTCCTCGCTCTGTTTACAACGCCAAAGCATAGATTTTCACGTCTTGATACAACGGCTGCATTCCAAGCTACAACAAGTGCAACTTCAAACAGGGTTTAGCAGAACTCTTTCCACTATAAAACCCATGTCTTCAACTTCTAAAACTGTATTAAATTCACACGATTGATAATATACGACGAACTATCTTTCCTACCATTTATTTGAAGGAGTTTGTTTTGGCCGTCGCGTTGCCGTCCTAAAATCGTAAGGTCTCTAATGTCACACACAGGAAAGCGAGCTTCTAGAACCACAGTGACGTACTTCCGGAAGGGTGCATATGTAGGGTCGAATTTGAAGAATAGACCTTTCCGGTAATTACGTCACAACTACACTGTTTTCAACTTAGAACCACCTTAAATAGAATAGATTTTAAGTTTGTTTCTCACGGGACCGGGTCATGGCCCCTCAGCCTCGTTTTCGTGTTAAAGCTTATTTCCACATTTATTGGTCAAAATCCAAAATTCTTTTTTATGCATGTGTTGAAGGAGGATGTTCTGCTCCTCTGACCAAAGCCCGTGAAAAACAAACTTAAAATCCATTCCATTCAAGGTGGTCCTAAGTTGAAAACAGTGTTAGTCATGACGTAATTACTGGAAAGGTCTATTGACGATGTACAAACGATTGACGATGTACAAACGAAGGCAAACTATTAAAGACCGTAATTTAATGAAGTACAATGCCAAACTTTTTTGAAATTTCTCATGTTGGTAAAACATTTCTAACAGTTCTTTAATTTACTATAAACAAGTTTGCTTCAGGAGCACATAAAGATGAATGTAAGTTTTCTGTGATAAGTTTTAAAAGCGAATGGCATATATTCAAGCGAATGGCATATATTCTTACATTGGACTTCAATTTTATAAACTAATTTAATAGTACAATATTTGTCTAATAATTTGAAACACCTGCTTATAAATTTCCAAACCATGCTTCATAGCTTAACTGATGTAAAATAGATGCAAGATTATCGCTTTAAACCATGTCATATTGTCACACCATAACATACATTGTTCATTTTCAGTTCATAAGTTTTTACTCGATCAGTTTCTTGGCAATGAAAAATCGGCGCAAGTAGAAAACTTGCCATGTTGCTAGTCCAAGGAGGCAAAGCATTGAAAATACGCTGAAGTAGAGAACTCTTGAATGGGTAGACTCTAGAAAATAAAAGATACAATCAATGTTATGTTTGTGAAGGTTGCTAACACTGGTCCCCAGATAAGGAGAACAGTTTAGACAAGATAGATCTATCTAGGGGCCGGTTGTATCAAGCCCGCTTAGCTTAAACGGTGGATAAGTCAAAATTAAATAACACTCTTATATCTCTCATGAATCAGTTAACTTAAATATTCTGCACTGAATATGTAGTTGTAAACAATATCGTTCTATTAAGGTTCAAAACTTTTAATTCGGTTGTTGAATGAATCTATGGACTTGCTTTCTATTTTGAGCTTAACCACCGTTTATAAAGCTAAAAGGGCTTGATACAGCCGGCCCCAGTTCAGGTTAGTTTAGTTAAGGTGTTGTGTTGTCCTGTCGTAACACCTTGCACAAATAAAGGATGACCCTTACTGGACCTCTGGGAAGAACAGTTTAGAACTACAAGAGTTATTCAGCATAAATAAAGTTAGTTTGGTGTAGTTTAGAACACAATGCATACTAACCATTAGTGTCCCTCATTTCTTGTTCTCGCTGCCGCATGTATGCAAAATCGTTAACAATGTCTTCTGCTAAGTCTTCCAGACGTTTTAGTTCAATCTCAAGAGGCTTCATTTTCTCTACAGCTGCCATCTATGATGAAAAATATTTTGTATGTTACAGACAGCCTTGTTGCTGCACCTCTAGGAAGAACAGTTTTGAACTGATAGAGTTATCTAGTGTAAATAAAAAGGTTTAGTTTATTTTTCTTCTCAACCTTGTCATAATCTTTTGCTTCAGCTCCATGTTTTAATACTAGCGATACTTCACGATCCATTCCAGATCCTGCTTTGCCTGCAAGAAAAATATCTCAAATAAGACAGGGTTCAAATTAGGGGGGGGGATCAATTTGCAAATTTCCTTCTTGAAAATTTGAAGGAAATTTCAGTTTTGAAAAGTGGAAACATTACTTGCAAAAAACAAAATCTGCTAACCCTGTAATGTAAAATCATCATATATAGCTTATAACATATTAGCCTATCAGATGGTTATAACATATTAGCCTACCTTCACTCTGGAAACATATTTTATACATCTCGTAATCCTCCGTCGTGAAAGCAAACTTTCCTTTAGTTGCATCCTCTTTCTTAAATAGGACATGCCCTTTCGAATCTGTCACCTGATGACAAAAATTTTGATTTCAGTCATATTTCGGGAATCGTGTGGGTTCGCAAATATGCTTTACATTTTTTATGAAAATTCAAAGGAAATGCTAATTTTGAAATGTGGAAACACTGCTTGCAGACTGCCAACACAACTTGTCCAAAACTTTCACATGCAACCTGGTTACAACTTGAGTTGTACTGTGTAAATCAAGCATACAACTCACATTGTCATAGGGCAGTTTTAGGTGAAAGTTGTGTTGTGTAAATCATCCTGAAAGTTGTGTTGTGCAAAATAGCACTATCCATCGGATAGCGATTTTTTCAAGCTTTGTTATCAGTCGTTGATTGGTATAACTTGTATTAAAGTTTAGTATTTATAAGTGAAATGTTTTTTATACTTCTTGTGTCGTCTATATCCGCAGTTTCACAAAGCTTGAAAAAATTACTATCCGGTGGATAGCGCTATCCGACCCTCGTACCACCGGCCCCAAATCAACAATCATGGGTTGCAATCTGATTTGTTGATTCTCTCAACAGTTTAAAATTGCCATATAACTTGAATGTACAGCAATTATAAACAGTTTATTAGATAGGAGCGTGTGGTGAGCCTGTACTCATACCAACACAATTACCAACCAGAATTAAGTGTGGTCATTCAAATCTGGTTGCAGGGTCCCAATTTCCAATCACAAAAATTTACCACATTCTGGAAATTTCTGCAAATGGAAAATAGCCCCAAATTGAACATATTAATAATCGATTTTATCCACTTGATGCAAAGCTTGTATTTATATACCGTTAAATGTGTCTTTTGATTAGCTTCGGATAGTTGATATTCCCCTGTCACCAGAACGTCTTTGTGCAGTTCTTCTTTGAGACATTTTGTCGCCCCAGATGATAGAGTAAAAGACAGCGAATTTACAGGAATAAGTTGATAAAAAATGGCCACAATTATAGTTGAAATACAGAATATTTTATCCATGGTTTTGCATTTGTTGTATACGGTTTCTGTTGCACAAAAAAAAAACAGAATAAACTCATACAATACAATATGCAGGGCAACGTGGCATTAAAAAGGAACTCGGCTCTACCGGCTTCTTTTTAAACACCATACATCGTAAGTAGATTTTGGTGGTCTGAGGTCTCCGAGTTCAAAAGCCCAACCAAATTAGAAAAATAGGAAATCTCTTTTTTGCGTTTATTTCATTTTTTTTCAAGTAAAATTTCCATATATTGTTTGCTACTGCTTAATAAAATTTTGCATAAATGATTTTAAATGGAGAAAAGGTTTATAAAAGTCTCGATAAAAGTTTGAATAAAATACTTTTAATATTTCAGTTATGGCCGACAATGATCGGAAAATAACGAACATTTACGAAACCATCGTTCAGAAAAGTAAGAGATAACAATGAATATATATAGTTGTTTTGGAATATGTAGGAATATTTAGGGTAAAATTAATACACTAAGCTAGGAATGTAAGGGTGCAATGGAGTACAAAAAGTGTGGGCTATAAAACCAAAATATATTTTTTCAAATATTTTATTTTGTATATTTCTCAAAGTAAATTGCGCTCGAAATGTCTGGAAAAGACAGAATACCTGTGTTCCCTTCTAGAATGTAAGTATGGTGATGTAGCTTGTTAATATTACATTATTATTTTATAGATTTTGGCCATTGTAAAAGGCACTTGTAACTTTGGTCTTTGGAGTGAAAAAATTATCAATAATAGTAACAAATTAACATGCTTCAATACTAAGATTAATGAGAGGCCGAGAGGGTCAGAAGTGAAGTAAATAGTTATATTGAGAACATTTCAACTTTTTCTGTCCACATAGTGTACGTGTCATGTGACCCATTGTGCATTTTAAGTGTGATATGCGCCCAAATGACAATATTGTCGATAGTTAAATTGGCATATCTTAGGTGTGCAGAATGCACCCCTGGAAGCATGTGCCAAGGCAATGCATTAGTGCATTTTGACAGAAAAGTTGATTCGCTATGTTCACTCAATGCAAGAGAAATTTGGAGCCCCTTCCAAATTTGTCCATTTTCAAATAAATTTGCTATAGTTGGCAAATGCCCACCCCACACACACACATGGCACAAAAGTCCACCACCCAAATTGGCATCAACTCTAGCCTTAATACTGTAGGGCTCTGACCATTATGAAGGGTCGTCTTAAAGGAGCTCAGAAAGGCCATTCCTTATTGAAGAAGAAAGCAGATGCGCTGACGTTGAGGTTCCGAAACATTTTGAAAGATATTATTGAGGTAAACATGCATGTGGCAATATATCAATGTAAGGCCAAATAAAAACAAAAAATTGGTTTCAGGTTTCACAGCCATGTTTTATATGGGTAAGTAGGTCGGAAAAACATTTTATTTAAAAAAATATTTTATCTCAAGTATGCAATAACGGGATCACCCGCAAGCTAATGTGTTTCGCGAGAAACAAATGTCTTTTTTCAGCCGTAGCTGCCATGTCAGAATAATGTACGTTTTTAATATTTTATTCAACTGTTCTTTGTATAAAACTATGATTAACATGACTAGATAATGATTAAATTATAAGCAAACAAAATAATTTGTAGACAAATGAGTTTGGTGACTATTTATATATTCTGCTATTTACGAAAAGATGATCTCTACTGGGAAATGTCAATAAAGTCGGTCATATTTTTGACAGGTCGGTTGGAAACCTGAAACCAACTATTATTTTTATTTGGCCTAAGACGCAATATGCCTGTGCTTTTGTTAACAAATTTCTCTGTCTAATGCCAGATCATTTTACTAAAGCTTAAATTGTTATATTTTAGACAAAAACAGTTATGGGTGAAATCATGAGAGAAGCTCAGTTTTCATTGGCTGAAGCAAACTTTGCGGCAGGCGATTTTAGGTGTGATGTAGTTTTCGATGCAAAGTACCTGATACAATCTGTCTTTATATCTACAAGGTCTGCAGTGTGGTGACATTTTCAAATTTTCTTCTAGTTATGGAGTGTTAGAAAATGTTGACAAAGCTCAAACGAAAGTTCGTGCAAGAAATGAAAATGTTGCAGGTATATTACAGTCGTGCCAATAGAAGTGTTCTGAAAAATGTTGACCAGTTCATTTCCTAACTTGAAGGAACACCTCTGAACAATTTCTTAAAATTTTGAAAATTTCCTTAAAAAGCTCCTAACTTCCTGTTACATTGACCAATCAAATTTTATATTTTATTTTTGAGCAATCTGATTGGTCAATGAAACAGGAAGTTAGGAACTTTTTAAAGAACTTATCAAATTGTCGAGGAATTGTTCAGAGGAACTCCTCGAAGTTGGGAATTGAACTGGTCAACATTTTTTGGAACGCTTCTATTGGCACGACTGTAATAATGCTTAGTTTAATGAAGCCGATGAAAACAGTTGACCATTAAGATAACATTTCACGATTGCACCACCAAAGTCGCCCACTCATAATAATTTCTCCACTGATCCATATATAACATTTTAATTTATTGAATTTAAGGAGTGACACTTCCACTCTTTGAGGCTACTTCTGATGGTGCCAGTGGTAGGTGAAACTTGGTTAATTTATTTAATTAAAGAAAATATTTGTGAAATTTTTCATTTGACATACTTGTAAATTCTTTGCAGCTTACGAACTAACCGGTTTATCTCGTGGAGGGCAACAAGTTAACAATTGCAAGGAAGTTTTTGCCAAAGCAGTGAATCTTTTAGTTGAACTTGCATCTCTACAGGTACTAAGCTTTGCATCTTCTTCAGCACTATTTCAGTTTTCTTGAGTAACTTGAGTTTCCTTCTTCATTTTACACTCAATCAGTAAGGGATGACCTTTACTGTGGACCTATCAGTGTAAAGAAGGTTACAAAACTATCCAGTGTAAAGAAAGTTAGTTTAGTGTGAGCTTTAGTTTAGTGTGAAAAGAAAAATATGTTTTATTCTCAGACATCATTTATCACTCTTGATGAGGCAATAAAAGTAACAAATCGTCGTGTGAATGCTATCGAACATGGTATGTTTTCATTTTAAAATGTAATTTCAATGCAATTCCGCACCTGTCAGTTGTTTTGATATAATTGTTTTAGTAAGATAAATTATTTTTCTGCAATTAGTGATCATTCCTCGGATTCAGGCAACAATTGCTTACATAAACAGCGAACTTGACGAGCGAGACAGAGAAGAATTCTTCAGGTAACTTATTTGCATGGCCCCATCACTTAACTGTCCCCTAAATTATTGGCATCCCCCCCCCCCGAGCAATATCTGAAGATCTGTCTATTACTTTAAACTCTTAAATTTAGATTGAAAAAGATCCAGGAGAAAAAGAAAATCCGTAAAGCGAAGGCAGAAGCAGAGAAATTGGCCCGTGGTATCAAGACATCAGGTATAGGTTTGATCCCTGCCAAAGGGCCTATATATACTTGCATTTTTCACAACTGTTTCTGGTTGGGTCTAAAAATGTATAAAATTAACAGGGGTAGAAAAAATAGACGAGCACTGCTCACAGGAAATGTTAAACAGCTCCAGGAAATTCGTTTGAATGAAGATTTGCTATTGAAAATTTGAAGGAAACCTTAACACCCATGTCCCACTATGAGCGCAACAACATATGGTTGACAGACACTATTCCTTGAATTTAAAACCATAGTCAGCTAGAACACTATATGTTTATGCGCATGCTGACTTAGCACAAAAATACTCGGTTGGTCTGCAGGAAATTTTTGCCTCCGGGTTGTGATCCCAGGAAGAAAATTCTTTTTCCTGCCCTGAAAATTAATTTCATTCAAAACTTCCAACCTCGAAAAACCCTCCAACCATCAGGTATGTAAAACCTTGAGATAAAATAAATCTATAAATTTTTTTAACTGACTAAAGAAATGTTTGAATTCAGATGGCGCAACTCCAAATCTACTTGAAGATAATAGAGATGAGGATCTTCTCTTTGAATGAGGAATGTACTGCTCATGTTTGTGAGGACCTAAATGGCAATGCAACATACAGTACAGTCGTGTACAGCATGACAAGTAGAAATTTAAAATATTTATTTAACAGAAACAAAATAAGGGAATTAGAATAGATAATTTTGTAATAGATTAATGAGTCCTAATTAACTTACTAATCTGCGTAGCCCATCAATATTATTATCAGTGCATTTTTTAAGATTCTTCAGTGGTGGGGCAAAACTGCCAAAGGGCCCATTTTCCTTGCCGTCTCCCCAGGATAGTATGCGATCGCCGAAGGTGTGAGCCGAGTATCACAGGCGCAAGTTAGCTAGGGCTCTGGGAGCATGCCCCCCCCCTGTCCCCAGGAAATTTTTAAAATTTGGGTGTCTGAAATAGCATTTCCTGCATTCTGAAAAACATTTAAAAAAAAAAACTCCGCTTCTCAGAACAAAGTTTTAATGGTGAAATTTGTAATAAATTGCATGCTAAACATTCAAACATAACATAAGTTTAAGTATGCTCACCAAAAAATTTTGTTTTTTAAACTTCTTTTCAATGTTAAACTCATTTACTCAATACAGGTCCCAGGGCCCTGACTTTGGGGCAATAGGCCATTTTTTTCTTCATTGGTGGGGCAGAGGAGGGGGCCCAGTGGAGCAAATGCCCCACCAGTCCATGGTATTAAAAAATGCCTTGATTATTATTGAGCGATTAAATCAGATTGGTCAAATTGTTGAATGGAATTCAAAACTGGGGGATTAGAATTTGTGTAAAAATCTGCACGGAATCAGGCAGTATTTGGTTATCCAAGGCCGAATTTCTGATCTGGTCGGTTCTGATCATGTAAATGAAAGTGTCCACGGGCTATTGAGATATATTCAGATAACTTGTAATTACTATACCATGCCAGAGAATTTCTTTTTTAGGTTTTTATTTTCTTATGTTTATAAATTTAAATGTTATTATGGCTGGAGAGATTCTTACAAACGAACTTTAAACACGAAACTTTGTAAAAAAAACTACCGAGAGTTGTGTTTATACTTGATGAATTACTGTAGTTCTAATTAGTTTATTATGAAATTGAAATTATAGCAATTTTACTATTGTGTCAGAAACATACGATATAATTGAATATTGCAGTGAATAAATTATATGTTTATTGTAGAACAATCTGATAATTCAATGTTATTAACGGTCGATTACTATATAATAAGATAGTTTCCCCAATTTTGATCAATAACATTCTTTCCTTTAATTACTGACAATTGGATCATTATTAATAATCATCGATAATCGATAAATTACAATTACTATAAGGCGTAGCTGATACTAGTTGAAAGTTGGGCAAACCGTTCTCAGAAACATTTGCTTGAAATATTTCTGAGTAAATTGATCCATGAATCCTGGCTGCATAGAATGTATAGACACACAAGTTGAACACTGACACAGCGACAGAAAAAGCTTATTTGGGACAGAGTCGCATGCACTTGCGAATTTAGATGTTTCTGATTTTGTTAAGAAACATTTTCTTTCGCCTGAATGGGCAAACATTCCGAGGAAACAGTTACGGATTATGTGAAAAGAGTCCGTCAACGCTCTGACAAAAGTCATGGGTTTTCTCCGGGTGCTCCGGTTTCCCTCCACGGGGAAAGTTGACATGGTGGGTTCGGATAAACACAGTTAAGTCTTAAGAAAGTAATATTACAATTGTTGTAATGATAAAATAGTCTTGGCTATAAGTATGTAATTATAGGTAAGCGTGTAATACTCGATGTAAAGCACGTTTGATCATATCCACTTGTAAATTTGCACAATATAGTAATGTTAATCTTAAGATTTTCAAATGTTCTCCGCAACAAAGTTTAATTGTCTCGTAGTAGTTTGTGGAGACCTTACGGCTACAACAGGTGGCTATTTGGAAAGTCAGCTGGTGTAATCAGGTCACTTCCTTTGATTGCTAAGGCTTTTTGTCCTCCAGCACTCATTGTTTCCCAAGAAGACAAAGAAACATTCCTTGGCTGGAGAAAATTGAAGGTAAAGTTTGTAAAGGTTTAGAAATCTTGTCTTCTTTATTTAGCAAAATTGTAAATAACGAAAAATACTGATCTACAAGAAATAACAAAAAAAGTAAAACGAGATTCAGTAGACCAGACATAAATAAATAGTACAAATTAACAATAAGTCAATATTATATATATTGTTTAAATTTGAAATTTTACTTTATATTCCCGTTACATTTGTTATAGTAAATTATAAAACTATACTAAATCATTGACCTAATAGTCGTAAAGGTGTCAATTATAACGATGACATAGTTAAAATGGCTATAAAGTTATCTAGTCAGACTATGCATATATGCAAAAGTTCGGACTTCTATTGGCCTTGTGATATGGGAATGTTGTTTCGAGGCTTCATATATATGCGTAGTATTTCAGTTGTGTGACTTTTTCTTTTTAGGTCATGGCATCATTTAGTCAGCAATCGTGTTTGACTGTTTGTCTCAGTTTTGTTGTCTTGGTTTCGCTCGTGAACTCGGGTATAGAATTTAATCGATTCTCCATGTCATACTTTAGGCATGTGACACAAAAGGCTGATTCATACTTCAGCTTACAACTTGAGTTGTACTGTGAAAATCAAACACACAACTCACTTGCGACAACGTATACTATAGGCGAGATGTATGTTTGATTTACACAGTACAACTCAAGTTGTAAGCAGGTTGCATGCGACAGTTTTAGGCAAAAGTTGTGTGGTGTAAATTGGCCTAAATGTTTCTTCGATTGTTTCCCTGGCTGACTGCCTAAATTGAAAAAATTGAGTAAACAAGGTCAATGATCACAGTCCTCCCTCCCCCGGCGTCCCCCCAACCCCCCAGCTTCTCCATCCCTCCGAATTGTTAGCTGTACTCTATAGTTTGACCAGAGCGTAAGACTTGGTCGCTTTCACTAAGGGCTGCCCCAATGCAACGTCTTTTAAAATTGTGATTTGATTTATTTAGATCTGGTGTGTGAAGACAAGACAAAATCATGCAAGAAATGGTCAAACGACAAAAAACTTTGTGATGAAAATGGGAAATATAAAAAGCAACGTTTTTATGTGTCAATGTCGAGGCTCTGTAAGAAGAGTTGTTTGATGTGTGGAGATGATGGTATGTTCTCTTGCATAATGTCATGGATAATAAAATAAATGGATAAGACTCTCGCTGACGTAAGCAAAAACAACCTAGTTGCAATCTGTGACACAGAGTCTGTGACGTCACGCGTATTGCAAAGTTCTCGGCATTTTTGTTGTTTCGCTATATTTTCCGCCTTAAAAGAGCAATATTGAAGCATAAATCGGTCTAATTGTTTTAAAAACATGCCTAAACCACGACAAAGTATTCAAGGTAAATGTTTTTCGTCTTTGTTTTGTATTTTTTTACATTTGTAGCTACGAAATTGACGTCCCCAATTTTAACGAAATTTGGGATGCATTTTTCACTGTTTAGTGCTTGAAATATTTGCTAAAATTGACTGGGAATACTTAGAGATTTCATCGTAGAATGGCGTAGTTATATTTATTTGCTCGTTGACTAAAATGTTCAGGGGCCGGTTGTATCAAAGGCGTTTAACTCGCTAACCACCGTTTAACTCGCTATCCGCCGGATAAAATTTAAACGCTCGAGAAATCGCGTTGTATCAAGCCCGTTTAGGGCTATCCACCGGTTAAATTTTGCCTATCCACCGTGTAAACTTATACAGTTTCTTGAGACCGTTTAAATCGCTATACGGCGGATAAACTCGGAGTTTGAAGATAAAACAATGATTATTTCGGATGAAAAAGCATGGGATAGTTATAAAAATGCACAATCATGTAGAGGAGTTATCTTTTTAAATCCAATAAACATGAAAAACTCACTTTT